CTTTTTAATTTTTTTTCCTTCCCCTCCCTCTTTCCAAACACTTTTATTCTATAGGAAGTTTTGCCTTGGAGCAAAAACAAATGTTGGCATTTCTTGTGGATCAGGAAATCATTAAATTCAAACAGCTTCTGGGTGTATGAAAAAAAAAAAAAGAAAGAAAAGAGTGCTCCAGTGTTTTCATTTCTTTCCACTAATTCCTGCTCATGCTCTCTATTTTAATCCTTTGGGGCGGGGAGCTTTATTTTTATCCCCAAGTAACCGCAGGCTTAGGCCAGCCCTCCTTAATAAAGTGCCCGACTTCAAGGGAAGTGGGATAAAGCCTTCAGGAAGGAGTAAGTACCAGCCTTGAAGAAGTCTGTCGACCAACTCAGGGCAGCTTTAAAGCCCCGCTCACCTGTGGGCAGGGGAATTTTCCTGAAGCTTTCAAGGACTTTTATTGCTCGCTGTCTGATAGGCAGCGAGTCGCTTAGTCTGCTTGCGCAAGCAGAAATCCCCCATCCAAGCTGGCCCGTTATGTCTTTTAAAGGGTTATGGCTTTTCTGCTCTGCCTGCGATCGAAGGGAAATGCTGCCCCTGAAGGGAGAGCTGCCTTTGAGACTGCTCGTGTTCCCACCTGAGACACCTGCATCCACCTCGTGAACCTTCATCTCCCTGCAGGAGAGCTGGTTTTAACGCTGTTCTCAGTGCCGTGTCGTATCTGGCYTTATTTCCCCGTCCCTGTTCTGGCTGCCTCTCGAGGGCACGGTTCCCATCTCGCTCTGCACGTGTTCGGGCTCTGGCTCGGCAAGAGAGGATTGGAATATGAAAGGGAAAAACCTCCCTGAGAGCTGCTGTTCGAGTCAATTCTCCTGTAATCCCATTCAGATTACAGTCCTGTTGAAACCACAGTGAAAAGCCTTGGGAGATACGTGGTTATATAGGGACTATCTCTAGAGTTTTCTGGGCAATTTTGGTGTTCTCCTGACCATTTTAATACAATACTTGGTTCTTGTGCTTCTACTTCAYATACTTTTTCTCACTGTTACTTCAGAATCCCTGATCCCCTTCCAATCTTTAGATCCCTTTTCAAACAACATCTCTCCTTCAGTACTTTCTGGAAGACCTTTTTATCTCTTTAGTATTTGCAATGTTTTATTCCCTCAAGACGCAGAGTAAGTGTCTGTTCTACGTTTTTGCCTGTTCTTGGTTTTGAGACTCTTCAAAGTTGCTCTTCCTGTAGAGTATTTCTTGAAAGTGTGTGTGGGAAGCTGTGTTACTGCTTAAGATGCAGGGAAAGCCTTTGAAGAGGTGGGAGACTGGGAAGAGATTTAAATCTGGACAAAGAACATTTCTTGTTCTAAGCATTGAGTGGCCTATTAGGGCAAATGAGTGGGTTTCTTTAGGTAGCTTCTTCTGAGGACAGAGGGCAGGAGTTGCTCTGAGCAGTAGGASAGATTTTTGGCATCATGGCCGTGCTGCAGGTCCCACAGCCAGCGCTGCAGGAACAGAGAGCTGTGGATGCTATAGGAGGCTCCCTAGAGCAAAGGCATGGCCTTAAGTCTTAAAAAAATTAAAAAAAAAAAAAAATTAAAAAAAAAGAAAAAGAAACGTTTTTAAAGTACAATTCTGATAGAATTACCGAATGGCAGAAGTTGGAAGGGATCTCTAGAGATCATCTAGTTCAACCCCTCTGCTCAAACAGAGACACCTTGCTCATTTRTCAGATGTGCTCAGATTCTTACAAGGCTGACTACTACTTTCAACTTTGGATTTCTTAACATCTGTATAGTGCTAAGGTCCATAGGGTTCCATATTTTCGTTTGTTTTTCCTGGCAGGCCATCATGGGATTTTGAGGTCTGTTGGCTGCCCTGCCCAGCATGGGTGACATCTCTCTCAAGACTTCATATACCTGCTGGAGGAGCTTTGAGGAGCTAATGGGAGCCCTTGGGAATGCTGAATGTTGCAGGGAGTGGTAGAGCTGAAGGGGTGTGGAGTTGCTGTAAATAGGGCCTAAYACAGAGATGAAAAGGGAATGGAAACTGGCCTTGATGGCTTGGCTTTGAGAATTTCCCTAATGTTATGTCTCTGTAGCTGATTCAGGCCTTTGCATTTGAGCTACTTTGGTCTCTCTCGCATGTTCCTTTTCTTTTAGAAAAGGCAGGATTGTTTAATTCTTTGGTTTACCACATAATTTAGCCAACAGTGTAAAAGGCGTCTACTTGGCCTGGGASCAGAGCCCTGGAGGGAGGGGATGCAGGCAGGCATCCTGTAATGCTTTTCACAGTGCTGCCTGATACATTTCTGCCTGCCACCCTGGGGGATAGGCAAGMTATTAAATTAGAATATTTGCATAGTTTTGACTTTATTTTTCCCCACAACCAGGATTATTCCAGCCCTTAACTGCTATAAGTGGTCTGTATAAGAAGACTCTGCAGCCAACAATAAATTGTGCTCTTTTGCATGTTTTTGATGTAGTGGTGAACAAAAGAAACTATTCATAATTCTTTATGCAAATTCTTCCTCCTTTTTTTTTTCCTTTTTTTTCTCCTTTCCAACAATGTGTAAGTTGTAGAGTAGCCAGTTTGTAGGTAGGTTGTGAATGTCCTGGTTTGTATTATGCTGTGCAAGAGAACTGATTAAATTAGCATCCAAATTCCATAAAACAAGCGCTAGTATTGTTCTAACGTTTGGTTGCTGTAGTAAATGTTTTGGAGGGCTGCATTTTATGGCTTTAGCATCTGAAGTGGGAGAACTGTACAGAATATATGTTCCATTGTGGCTTCCAGACCACGATACAATAAAGAATTCTGATGAAAACAAAGCGGGTCATGACAGAAAAGGCCTTTTAGACAGTGGGGACTTTCAGTGCAGCCGAAAGCACAGCTTTGAACATTAGTTTTAAGCAAAAATGTAAAAGCACCARTCTTCCTCTCCCCTTTCTCCCAATCTGCCCTGACCCAGAATCAGGGGATACCTTGCTTTCATTTAGCTTTGTTCTTTTCCCCTATTTCCTATCTTCCAGATGCCTGCTTAAAGAATTTGTTTTGCTGGAAGTGAATAAATCAGAGGGCATATAAAGTAGCACAGATGCAGTTTTCCATAACGTTGCCTTTCTGAACTCCATTCCCTGAACTTTTGACCGACTCAACATCTTGTAACGCTGATTGCCATAGTACAAATATTCMCTCTGTACGGGAAAGAAAGATTAACCCTATGCGTGATTTTTGTGATATGTTATCCTCATTTTCTGTCTTATAAGAAAGAGTAAATAGCAGTTTTTAATTTACTTTCTCTATATTAGGTGTGAATTTTTAGACTTCTGTCTTGTACCCTTTTTTTCAATCATCTTTTCACCTAGAGGCCCTAGAATCTTTCCTTGTGTAAAAGTTTTCCATATTTCTGAGCATCTTCATCACCTTACTGTAGATGTCTTTATTTTGTACTGTACGTTATGTTCCTTTTCAAATTTATTTCTTTGTTGTCACAATTTCATACCTTTCTCAAGAAGCAGCAAGCTGTGAATTTAATGCTGTGGCTTAATGTTTTCTGTTTTTGTTTTACTRATAACCATGAATACTTCTGTTCTCTTCTGACCAACAATGAAAACCCTCAGCACTCTGKTTAGAAGACTGTCTACAGTGAGTCAAGATACCTGCATTTTTATATATAAATATTTTATATTTATATATAKTTTTCTCACAGATTGGAGATAAGGCTCTAGGTTAGTTGTCATTGTGTTTGCTCATATGTTGATGTGTTGGTCCCAGAATACAGAAACCTGTATCTTTTCAGCATGAATTTATTCCATTTTTGTTATTCCACATGTGGACATGTAGGATAATATTGCAAATAGTCATTTACAAGGATTTCATGGTACTGTAACTTTTGACCTGTGCAAAAATGGATGTAACTGGATCACTTCCATCACTTTCACTTCCAGAAATGGAGACCACGTGTGAAGAGATTGTATGAAGGAGCTGATAAATGATGATGAAATGCTGGAGAGTATAGTTGGGGTCACATCAGTCTGTCTTCTTTACTAGCCACATTCTTGGAGAGGAAAGAGTATTTTCCTCTCAGTAGGAAGCTTGCCCTTTCTTCTGTCTTATTTCCTGTGGTCTATTGGAAGATGGTTTCCATCACAGAACTTCAAGAAGGGTAAATCTTGTCTTCTAAGAAGCAAAATTTAAAGATCATCAAGGSTTTGGTGGAAGTGCTTTTAGAGATTTATGAATGATGAGTGTGAAGAAATGCTTTATAATTAATTGGTGGTTGTGTGATAGGCAGAACAGTTTCATGAAAACATAAATTACTATTAAAATGAAGTTAGGTTTCTCTATTGTGTGTTTAATAGTCTTAGTGTTATTTATGGTGGGGCAGACAAAGAATAATACAGGATTTATATGGCATTATTAAAGAAAAAGAAATCCTTTCCTGTAAAGTTGATGTTCACAGTTCRCAGGGTACGTGTACTTAAGGTATAAATTGCTCACTAAATCCTTCAAAATCTAGGAAGAAGTGGGTTGCTGACTTTGAGCCAGGGTTTCTTAACTGGATTTACTTAGAAATTGTGTACTGCTTTTATACAACTAATAAATTTTAGTTAAGTTTGAAACACGGGAGCTCAATTTTTGTTTGTGAATGGTTAGACAGGTGGAAAGGGCCATCTGTTGATGCAAGCCAGGTAGCGGTTCCTGTGGCATAAATGAAATGTAACATGCTTTGCCCTCACCCCAACTGTGAATGTTCTCACACTTGCTCAGTCATTCATCTCTACTGACTCCCTGATCTAAAACTGAGTACCCAGTGAGCTTGGCTCTTCTGGGGCACTGTTGCATTCTTAAAGAAATCCAGAAATAAGACCTGAATGTGGTATAAAGGCTGTGTTTTCCCCTCAAGTGCTGCATCCAAATCATAAAAGTCGCCTAAAAATCCTATAACTCTTTTACTCCATTAACAACGTGGCTTCTGGTATGCTAACTTTTATTTTTGGTTTGTTTTGCTTTGAAACCTTTGCCAGGACGGGAGCAGTTCCATGGTCTCGGCTCAATGTACTGCCGCGGAGCAGCTGCTGTGATCCTCACGTACGACGTAAACAGCCTCCAGAGCCTGACGGAGCTGGAAGACAGATTCCTGGCACTGACGGACACTGCAAGTGCTGACTGCATTTTTGCTATTGTGGGCAATAAAGTTGACCTCACCGATGACTGTGCTTCATCACCCGAAAYGGAGGAGGAAAACAGACCTGAAAAGTCCCTTGCCAGCTGTGGCTCGACCAAGGTGCGAAAGCAAGTCCATGCAGAGGATGCGATTGCGCTCTATAAAAAGATACTGAAATATAAGATGCTGGATGAGAAGGATGTTCCAGCAGCTGAGAAAATGTGCTTTGAGACCAGTGCAAAAACAGGATATAAGGTGGACTACCTCTTTGAAACCGTCTTTGAGATGGTAGTGCCAATAATTGTACGGCAGAAGGCCGAGGGGCCGCAGCAAACTGTAGATATTACTGATTACAAACCAGCAAAAAGGACAAAGTCTGGTTGCTGTGCCTGAGCGCCCTGTGTGGTGCACGAAAAGGGAGGGACTGTTCTCTGTAGCTATCTGAAGAYGAAGAAGCGCTTAGAGTTCACCAGAGAAGTTAAATAAATGGACTGAAATGGTATATGAAGAAAAAAACCAAATCTGCTGAACATTAAAGGTTTCTGGGAAACTCTAGGAAAATGAGAATGAGTGGAAAATATGGAACAAGATTTGCCTGTTGCAAAGGGCTCTGAAGACACAGTGCGTGTTGGTACCATTGGTAGTGACAATCGTTTGAGCAGTCTTGCAGGAGTTGTCCTTTTAATGACTTGCTGTGTAACGTTGCATGTAAACTGTCTGCTTATGTACCATATCCTGCTTTCACATGACTATCACCTTGTGATCCTAACTTTGGAAAATTGAATACATGGTACTTTTTTATTCTCAAATGAAAAAAGAGAAAATCCAGGTATAATTTATATTTGTAGCTAATAAAGAAATTACAGTCTTTTAATGTCAGCTATGACAGTGTATGATTCAGAAGCTGTRCTATTAAAATCACTGTGAACATAGACTATTCATTTCAAGACTTTATTTAAACGTGAGTTCAGCTTCTCCTGGGAGCTTTCATGTGTTAAGAGGTGCCATCAGATATCTTGTTGTTCGAGCTGCAGGTTCTTTACTGTTAGGGTGACAGAGCAGTGGAACAGGCTGCCCAGGGAGGTTGTGGAGTCTCCTGCTCTGGAGGTCTTCAAAATTCACCTGGCTGCCACCCTGTGCCACATGATCTAGGTATGCCTGTTTGAGCAGGAAGGTTGGACTAGATGATCTCTAGAGGTCCCTTCCAACCTTAAATATTCTGTGATTCAGTGAAATTGTTTTTTTTTTTTCTTTCTGTTTCGTTTGTAGTTATTTTTAATGTGCTTTGCAAAGCTTGTGGGGAAGGAAGGAAGGAAAGAAGCTATGGTTAGACTTCATCTTGCCTTTTTTTTTTCTCTTCCTCTCTTTCTGCTTTCAAATACCTCTCTGTGACACCTCTGTGATCCCAAGGTGTTTAATACCCGTGTTCCTTCTCCCTGACAGCCCAGTGGTTGCGCCCAGGCGAGGCTGCAGCTTGGATTGAGCAGCTCTGTGCGACCCTGCACAAGGGAAGTGAGGACTGGCATTTGCTGATGCGAGGCAGGCTGCTGCTGCAGGGAAGGGAAGAGAAACTGCCTTCTATGTGCTGGGAAGGCGCACAGAGACACACTAATGAGGTGTGCAGTATCTCTTCCTGCTTCGCTGAAGGGGATGGGTTAATGCTGCTCCCAGTGCTTCTTAACCCAGCACATACGTTTGCTGYAAAGCAAACGTATGCAGTGGCCCAGGATATGACACAGATGCATCATAACCACGCTGGAGCATTGTCAGCTAAGTGCAAGGGTGGGGGGGAATAAAAGAAAAAGGCTGCTCATGTGTTTCCAGTTCTGCAAGTTTTTGTGTAGCAACTTGTGTATCTTTCTCTGAATTCTTCTGGGATCCATTCCTGGAACTGAAGAGCTGGTCGCTTTTATGTTGGGTCATACCCTTCCTCTGTCCCACTCAACTTGTTCAGTGTGTTCAAAGACAACTGCCACTCAAATAGTGAATTAAATTATTACTGAGTACACTTTCTCKACAATATATCCTCTTGAGCTGGCTGCAAAGAAACTAAGCTGAAGGTCAAAGCAGCTTTATTTTCTCCTTTCAACATTGGGTACAGCACACATTAAGTATGATGAGGAGTAATGGTTCTTGAGAAAAATCTCCACTGCCTTTAAGAACAGTTCTTGGTCATCTTTTGGATTTGCTAGGGATCTGTACTTTAATGCCTACCACTCAGCCAGATCCCCCTTTATGTGCTTTATGGTGTTCAAAACCAAGCTGAATATCAACAAAACCCTCCTAGCTAGTAATGAAAGCCCRAGACTGTGATCCAGTCTTTCATCAGGACTGGATGAAGGCCAAGAGGCTCCAAACCTGTCTTACTCGTGACTGAAGCAATAGGCCAACATGTTTGTCCTGAGTGCAGCACTTTGGCAACTGTCTATGCAGGGCTTAGGTGCTGCTGCTGTTCCCTGAGGAAGRGTCTAGGTGTGGGGTAAGGGGGTTGTCAGCCGGGGAGACTAAATAGTACTTGGGAGTTATAAGTGAAAGATGAGGAGGAAATCTGGATTGCTAACGATGCGTGTTAGCTTCATTTCTTTACTATTTTTCCATGTCGGATCATGCCTGCCAGCAAAATCTGAGGGTTTCTGGAGTTTGATGTAGGAAAGATAAATATAAGTAATTTAAGCTCTGTTTCAGCTGGGCTCCATTTTACAACACTGCTTTATCTGTTGTGGTGATGTTATATCTGTTGTAGCTGTGCCTATGTTATCTGCAATCACGCTTAGGGAGCCAAGTTCACTTGGAGGTA